TAGCATTTTCGGCAGGAGTAGGAATCTGAGGTTGGACTGAGACCCTGTTACGAATAGAACTTTGAGATACAACGGGGGTGGGCCCTTGGGTCCTTGCTCCATTCACAGTACGACTGGCGGGCCTGCGACTCGGTACTGCTGGCCTGACGAACGGATCTTGTGCGCCTGAAGTAGCAGCCTCATGGGTGACGCCGTTCGACTTTGTGGTGTTGGTAGATGTTGTAAGGTCAGGTTTGCGGGTCGATGCTGCAGGCTTTGCGAGAGGCGAGCCCATGAATGGATCCTGGGACACTAACATACCAGCCTCGTGGGCAAGACCGAACGACTTGGTGGTATTGCCGACAGACGCCGCAAGATCATCATCGCTGTGGTCGAAGTCATCACTGTCGATGAAGGAGTAGCCAGGAGTGACCTTTGACTTTGATCCGGGGTTGCGCACAATGTCGGGTGAGAACTTGTCACTGTTACGGCTTTGCCTGATGAAGCGCGATTGGCGCTCACTTCCAAGTTCTCCGACACCTTCTTCCTCGTGGTTTTGTTGTTCGCTTTGATGGTCCTCCTCTTCCTCATCGTCGGCGTACTTCTCCATCTGGTTTTCTATAGCCTGGGCGAATCCTGTAGCAGGAGCGGCCGGGAGCTTATCTGGGGCACCAGTACGACCGCTCGCGCCATAGGCATTTGATCTGCGACTGGCGACCTTGGTTAACGTTGTTGTAGTACGTTTCGCTGCGGCGGAAGCTGTGGCATTGGTGACAACTGAATCTGCAACAACAGAGTTTGCCTTTTGACTGAGGCGATCTGAGCGACGGTTACGTCCTCCAGGCGTGCGCGCCTCCCCATTGGCACGTTGCGACATGGCGGCGATGAGCTCGTCAAGATCGCGGTTGAAATCTGGGAGTGATGTGTCGCCAGCGAAATCGAAACCAAGCACAGGAGAAGGGGGCTGAATTGATTGCTGAGGTTGTGTGAGTAGTTGGTCGTTGGAAGATTGGGTTGCTGGGGCGGTCATGTAGAAGAAAGAAAAGACGCCAGAGGACTGGAGTCGTCCAACAATAGCTGTGAACAAAGAAAAAAGACAGCTTCGCGACAATGACAAGACAATAGAAAACAGAATGGGTTGCCCAACTGCTGCCAAGCTGCAGCCAGCTGGCGAAAATTTGCGCGGTGAAGACGAGGTGAAGGTGAATCAGGACGACACGTGCATACAGCCTCGCAATGCATGGGAGAGACATGGGCACATCGCAAAGACATGGGTAGGAAAATCGCGCCAACTTACACCTCGGCCAGAGACCCAACTTCGTCGCGTCCTATTTGCGCGATTGCGGGCGCGTTGCGTTCCAACTCTTGCTCTTTAACACTTTCGGTGACGGTATTGTTGATGGCGGGTTCCTGCAGTGGGTCCGTAAACACGTGGACAAGCCTTCACGCGTCGAAGCCGGCAGATGCGCTGTGGGACTAAACTCGATAGAGAAACTTCTGGCGCTCGTTCATGCGTAGATTGCGACTCGCGATCATGTTCCCAGGATGCGACGCGATGTTGTTTAGTGTGTATTGATGGTTGACAATGAGGTTGATGAAAGTTCGAGGTCGCGCTTTGAGGTGCAAGGGTTCAGCCTGTCCGCAAGCCGCCGCAACCGGTAGGTTAAGCGAGGCTGCACTCCATCCGGCGGTGTGTGACATGGCATTCTTTGACGCGAAAAACTAACTCTTACGAGACACAAGCAGACAGGAGCAAGAATAACAAGCTGGGAGAGATGGAGCACCCCTCAGAGACGACTGGGAGCTAGTGTCTCCGCTACCACAAGACATGGATGATGCATGAAATTTCCGGGCCCAGCTGGAAGCGGAGCACAAGACCCTGAGAGCCACAACGCTTATTCCGCCTGCTCGCATGTACCTGCGTCACCCAAGTTTAGTCCAGAGGATACGTCGTACGGCCATTTTGTGACTGGCGCATGTGGCCAAAAGACGGGGAGTGGCTGGTCAAGTCCACGCAGCAACTCATGGACTGTGGGTGGGTTGCTATCATGATCTACAGGGCTGACAGGCAAGCCCACCCGCAATCGGCCCACACTGTCACAGTCCTTGCTCTTACAACTCTACCAAACTCGACATGATCATATTCCACATGATAGACATTGTGTCTACCGTCCTCGCTACACGTGTTCCCAGCATTTTGGCAGAGCAGAACACGAGATGATGAGGTTGTAGCTGGTGCAACCTGTGGACGTCTCAAATCCGTACAGACAATCTGCTGCGCACACATGTGTCTAACCGAAATCAACATGCTAAAAGTTAGAAGATCGTAGAAGTCTATGGGAAACACATGTCTGGCGATGGCTATGAGAAAGCCAGACCACCCTTGCCGAATGAGGAAATCTATCCGCACGCGGCTCTTCTCTCTCGACTAGTGGCACAGCCCATGAACCCAGCATCTCGTGCTGCCGCGTTTTTATATATCTGCAACCTCGCAATCAAACGCAGACCTCGAATCGCATAAGAGCGACAGACCCCCAGACACATTCTCTACTTCTCATAACTAAAGTTCTCACAATGGTTGTAGGATCCGTTCTCGTCACCGGGTAAGCTACCCCTCCACCCCTCCACGCAGCTTCGAGACAGCATCATGGGCAATTGGTACTAACAATGGCTCAGTGGTACCGGATACATTGGCTCATTCACAGCCCTTGCCCTCCTCGAAGCTGACTACAAAGTTGTCATCGTCGACAACCTCTACAACTCCTCCCCAGAAGTCGTCAACCGCATCGAGCTCATTTGCGGCAAGCGACCTGCCTTCTACCAATGCGATGTCACCGATGAGGCTGCGCTCGACAAGGTGTTCGAGGAGAACCCAGACATCGACAATGTCATCCACTTTGCCGCGCTGAAGGTGCGTCCATTTGTCAACTACTGTATCGCAACCCCAAGCTAACACCTCCCAGGCCGTTGGAGAGTCTGGCGAGATTCCTCTGACATACTACCGCGTCAATGTCGGCGGCTCCATTGCGCTCCTCTCCTCCATGGTAAAGCACAATGTCACAAACATCGTGTTCTCTTCCTCCGCGACCGTCTATGGCGACGCGACGCGCGTCCCCAACATGATCCCGATCCCCGAACACTGCCCCATCGGCCCGACCAACGTATACGGCCGCACAAAGTCCACCATCGAGGGTGCTATCACAGATACCATCGAGGCCGAGCGCAACAATGCGAAGAAGGCTGGCAAGGACGAGAAGGAAATCAAGAAGTGGAACGCTGCGCTACTGAGGTACTTCAACCCCGCCGGCGCGCATCCAAGTGGCATCATGGGCGAGAACCCTCTGGGTGTACCATACAACCTACTTCCCTTGTTGGCGCAAGTTGCGATCGGCAAGCGCGACAAATTGCTCGTCTTCGGTGACGACTACAAGAGCAAGGATGGCACAGCGATCCGCGACTACATCCACGTCCTCGACCTAGCGCGGGGTCATCTCCAGGCTCTCAACTACCTGCGCGAACAACAACCTGGTGTCAAGGCGTGGAACCTGGGTACTGGCAAGGGCTCAACCGTCTTCGAGATGATCAAGGCCTTCAGCACCGTTGTAGGACGCGACCTGCCATACGAGGTTGCGCCACGGAGACAGGGTGACGTGCTCGACCTGACAGCGAACCCGACACTCGCGAACAAGGAGCTAGACTGGAAGACAGAGTTCACACTGGAGGATGCTTGCGCAGACCTGTGGAAGTGGACAGAGAACAACCCAGAAGGTTACGAGCAGCAACCACCAAAGGAGTTCGTGGACGCGCTGAAGAACAAGAAGGCTTGAGCTAGAGGAGTGAGGGTGGAAGGGTATGTGCTTTCTAGGAAGCGACACCTGCATTAGCATCTTAGAGATGAATGCTGAAGCGTTATATTTTACATAGATATGCTGGACATAATAGTTGAACCAGATAGGGTAGAAACGCAAACTTCGATTACTTGAACATTACGATATGAGCTCAGACTACTCCCAAATCCTCATCATTATGAAACTTTGGAAAAGTGTAATGTTCAAAACATGTTGACACTAACAGCATGATAAAGAAGCAGCTAAGCCTTGCCTCGTACCTAGCGTTATCTCTAAACACGAGTGCAGTATAAAATCTCGTGTTCGCCGCATCTGCCTTCTCTCCCACCTTGCGTCTTTAATCCCTCAATTTCCAGAAAAGACGTAAAGAAGAAGTTATGTGCGAGAGTAGCTTTTGGTCAGAAAGGTTCGAGTTCACACTGCCATGTGTGGAGGCGTTGTCTTGCATTAATAACTCTTTACAAAAAATCACCTACTCACAAGCCGATGTGTGAGATGTTCAGAAACTCCTGGCTCAATCATGATACCAAATCCCGCCTTTGCCTAGTTAGCCCTAGCATATATGGAGGAGCACATATAAAACATACCCCTTGTTATGCTCTATCTCACTTCTCTATCACTTGCAATATTAAAATATCAAAACGTCAAAAAGACCAAAAAAAGAAAGTGACGTTCTTATGGGGTGGTAGCGGATCGGACCTCCAAAACCAGCGTGTTTTGCTTTCATGCATTTGATCCTCACCAACTTCAAAAACCGCGCCAAAAGCCAGTCCGTTCTGGCCCATGTCCAACTTTGCGGCTTTTTAAAAAAGACTAGCTGTATGAAAGAGTATTGCCTCTCTTCTCTTCTCTCTTCTTCATACCCCCGGATAACTCAAGGTTTCATTCAAAGTCCACACAACACCTTGTACATGAGATTGCAAGAGGAGCAACACACCACACATGATCGCGTTCCCGATTATTTTCCTTCGATCAAAACAAATCAACAAAATGAATCATGTGTTTGAAGCGTCAGATTCGGGTATAACATTATCAAACAAGTGCCACTGCGGTATCCAAGATCCAGCTCTCATGACAACTACATGGCTATGCGAACGCTCAAAACAAGGCCGAAGCTCAATCGATGCATTTGCGTGCTCATTTGCATCATCCTCATCACATCCCCACAAACGCCTAAGCAATGTCCTCAATCGGGCAATTTGGATGCAACACGTACACCACCTTGTCGTTACCTTCAGCCTGGCCCTGCTCGTCCGCGAGACCTTCACCCCGGATCAACATGAGGTATTGCTCCTGTAGTTTTCGTTAGCACACATGTCATCAAAAGTTTCATTTGGTTTCGACATACCTTGACGACCTTCTTCAGCACCTTCTTGGCGAGAGCCCTCTCCCTCTCCAAGTCCTCTTGCGTCTCCATTTCGTTTTCCTTCTGCTCGAGGTACCAGATAAGCAATTCTTCCTCTTCGACACCGTCTTGTGTCTCTTCTTGGTCCTCGTTGACGCGCTTGACGAACATATTGCGCATAGCGACGTACTTGTCGTGTGTGATCTTGGTCTTCTCACGCGGCGCAACGGCTGGAGTCGCTGTTCGGTCTCGAGAGGCATCTTCCTGGTCATCCATCGGCGCATCAGCCTCCTGCTCTGCAGCAGCAGCCGCGGCGAGCAAAGCTTCATCGTCATCGTCCTCAACTTCGACGTCATCCTTCTCGACTGAGATGATGGATTGACGGAGAAGATTGTAGGCTTCTTTGACGAACTCGGGAGTGATGTCGCTGACGCAGTTGGCCTTGGCGATAGCCTCTGAGAGACGGATCATACTCTCAAGTTGACGAACAGTGATGCGGTAACTGTTGCGACCGATACCACCTTGCGCATCATCTGCTCGTAGCTCCTTGTACTTCTCGACGAGCGTCTCTCTTGCCTCATCAGTAAACTCTGGTCTGAATGTCCTTGCGAACCGGATGTAGCGCTGGAGCTGCTCAGTGTTGAACTCTGGGTCAACAGCTTCGTCTCTGTGCTGGTGTATACCAACAATGTGCTCGGCAAGGTGGCGATCGACAGCCTCGTCGCACTCGTCCAACACTACGAAGAACAGATCGAAACGTGACATGATAGGAGCAGACATGTTGACGTTGGCACGTAGCGTTGTCTTGCGGTTGTAGCGTCCACCAACGGGGTTGGCTGCTGCAAGGATAGAGGTTCTGGCGTTGAGCGTGGCCTGGATACCGGCCTTTGCAATGGAAATGGTCTGCTGTTCCATAGCTTCGTGAATGGCGACTTGATCGGCGATGTCCATCTTGTCAAACTCATCGATAGCGCAGATACCGTTGTCAGCAAGCATGAGCGCACCGGCCTCGATCGTGAACTCTCCAGTCTCCTCATCCTTGACTACTGCAGCTGTAAGACCGGCAGCCGAAGACGCCTTACCAGATGTGTAGACAGCGCGAGGAAGGAAGCTGCAGATGTACTTCAAGAACTGTGACTTCGACGTCGAAGGGTCACCAACAATACAGATGTTGATGTCTCCACGCAGCGCCATTCCCTCAGGTGTCTCCTTCGACACACCGCCCATCAATTGAAGGAGGAGTCCCTTTTTGATGACTTGGTGGCCGTAGACCATGGGCGCTATCGAGTCGACCAATCGCATGAAAATGTTGGGCTTGTGTACCATGTCCTTGAGATCCTGGATCTCCGCAGCAGTCAGAGTACCAAGATACTCCTCTTGGGCTTCTTCACCGCTTGTCGCATTCGACTCAATTTGACCTTGGCCAAGGGACGCGAGGATGTTGCTCGCCTGACCTGTCAAATGGTGGTTGGATGTCTGTCCAGGAGTCGAGTGGTCTGGTGAGACCATGCATGCCAAAAAGGACATGCGATACGTCAAGTCGCGCACACCAAGGGCTTTGAGACCGCTGACACCCGACCCACCGACATCGTTGCCTCGTGTTGTGTTTGCCGTATCTCTTTGCGCTTGTGGACGCACACCCGGTACGCGGAATTGACTCACGTCTGGGATGACGATCACTGTGCCGGTGAAGATACACTTCTCGCCAGCCTTCGCTCGATCCACCATCTCTCCGCGCAAGATGACGTCCATGGTTCGGGGCATACTGCCAGTGGGTATCTCTGAGCTGTTCTCCTGAATGCGCACCTTCTGCCAATCCACGAAAGTCGACTGGCGAATATCGAGACGCCAGCCCTCCCTGTTCATGCAGGTTATGTTGGGACATTGTGTGGGTTCGGTGTACTTAAAGGTCTGTTCGATGTTCGGTACGACGGTGTTGCAGATCTCGCATACGAAGGTGGCCATTGAAAGCTCTGGTCGGACTTCAGATGTTCGTGTCGCCGTGCCAGAAATAGAAAGCAAGCTGCCAATGGATGTGGTGCGCAGCTGACGAATACGGGAGACGAGAGGGAGATTGTAGAAAGCCAGTGTGAACAGCTTGTCTGTCTGCTGGTTCGAAGTCTTCTCATTGAGACTCTCATTTTGACTCGTAGCATTGCCGGAGTTTGATGTGCCCGCAGCAGAGGCAGTTGAGGCGGGCTGCTTGTGCTGGCGGAAGTACTTGGGCTCGTACTTTGCGATAAGGTTGTGGAGCGACCGGACCATATACGGCAGGAAGCGATAGTATTCGCTTGCGATGGCCGCGGCAAGAATGCCATCTTCGTGCCGGAGGAGGTGTGTGTAGTCGACATAGAGGGTGGAGAGTCCGTACAGTCGCATGCCCCGTATTTGGGCGATGTAGTACTTGTCTGTGGTGGGCACGGCGCTCGATGTGGGAAGAGCTGAGGAAGAAGGGTCTTCTGTGTAGCTATCCTTTCGTTAGTATATTCGACAGCAGGAAGACTGCTGTCATGAAGCTCACTTTTCGAGGAACTCCTGGAATCGCAACGAGAGCGTCTCTCCCGTCACGTCCACCACCTTGGGGATGTCTGTTCGCGGGGCATTTGTGCGCCTGCCTGGTACTCGTGCTCCGATAATCTCGTCATCAGGGTCTCCTTCGACATCGCTGTTGGCGCCGGCGCTTTCAGAGGGGGGTCCGCGGGGTCTCGCAGACGAAGATCGCATCTGCGGTGTCCGTGCATCGTTGCCGTACGCGCTGGAGGGAGTGGGCGCGGCATCCGAGTTCAGTGCGAGATCGAGTAGGGACGACATAGTGTGTGTATGGGTATCTGATGTGGGGTGCTGTTGACACAGGGAGACTCGCGGGGACGGTAAACACGCGAAAACGCGGTCGCGCTGTCCGAATGGGGAAGTAAGTGTGGGTCTGTGCACTCCATCCAAGCCTCACGCGAAGAACAGCAGGGAGCACGGCCACACAAAGAACAGGCAGTAAATCTTAACTCGATAGATGCTGATTAACTTTCAAAACTATCTTACACGCTCTATCATCCCAAAACACTCCCGAGGTCAAGATCAACCCCATGTTCCGCCACCACCTCTGCCAGCCCTCCTCTGCGCACTCAATCTCCAGTCGTCTTCACCTGCAAACTTGTTGTGCAGAGGCTGAATCCTCTCAGCCTTCTTTCGCTTACTCAACCTATCCGTTGGCGCAACCTTGAAGAACGTCGGCGCTGCTTCAACGAGCCACTTCGGCTCAATAGCACTGCAGAAGTGCATATATTCTTTGGTCGTCTCCACAAGTGAGTGGTATATGACGTGTTCGGCAGGCTTGCCAAACAGTGAGGAAGAAGGATGCAGGTAGACTGGTGTGCCTTCGACGAGCGTCTTGTAACCCTCGGCAGGATCTTTGCGCGCCGAGTTGCGGAAGAAGCCCGAGCATAGCGCTTGCCGAACTTTGATCGTATTGCGACCGCAAGAGACGACTTGATGCTTGTGTCGCGCCATAATCTGCAGCAACTGGTTTCGCACGTCGCGCACACGCTGCATGTTCTTGGGTATGACGAAGTTCTCTTGACACCACGGCGTACTGAATCCACCCTGTTTCCAACCATTGTACACGTTGAGAAGGGTGATATGATCGCCAGAAGGATCGTTGAACTTCTGCTTCTTCTGGTCGGCTTGTTGTTGCTTGTCACGTGGACGATGAAAGACGCTCTGGGTAGCGCTAATCATGGCGACAATGGTCAAGATCTCATCTGAACATTGAAGCTCAACGGACTTGATGAGTGACTTTGACAGGGATGGATCCATTGGGAAGTCAGCCATCTGTCGACCGAGACGCGTTAGTAGGCCTTCGTCGTCCAGTGCGCCCAATTGATACAGCTCCTCCAGGGCTGTCAACATGGTATTTGTAGGCGGTGGATCCATGAAGTCGAAGTGTAACAGATCGTTGATGCCCATAGCCTTGAGCATCAAAATCGTGTTTGACAAGTTTTGGCGCTGGATCTCCGGAATCGTAGTCGGCAACATTTCGTTCTGGAATGCGGCCTCGGTATACAGACGGAAGCACTTTCCAGGTCCTGTTCTACCTGCTCGTCCACTCCTTTGGCGAGCCTGGGCTTGCGAAATCGGGGTAATCTGCAGACGATCCATTCCTAGCTTTCCATCATAGGAACTCTGTTTGACAAAGCCAGGGTCCACGACATAGTAGATGCCGTCTATAGTCAGACTGGTCTCAGCGATATTGGTAGCAATGACGACTTTGCGCGTGCCGTTGGGCGCAGGCTCGAAGATACGAGAGGCCACTTCCGACGGCAAGGCACCGTAAATAGGCAGAATCATCAATTCTGGTACGTTTGGACCCAAAGCTTTCATACGCTCTGAAATGATCTCGCATGAGGAGTCAATCTCCTCTTTACCTGTCAGGAACAGCAGAATGTCACCTGCTGGCTCCGTCAAGTGGATCTGCATGACCGTGACCAGCGCCGCGTCGAGGTAGTCAGACTCTGGCTCTTTACTGTACATAACCTCTACTGGGAAAGTACGACCTGCAGGGAAGTTAGTGTTTGTCTCACATACACTTCGTGGAGTCAAGACTTACCTGGAATTGAGAAGATGGGACACTTGTAGAAGTACTCCGAGAACTTGTCGGCATCCAAAGTGGCACTCGTCACTATGAGCTTCATATCCGGGCGTCGTTTGAGTGTCTTCTTCAGCAGTCCAAACAAGACGTCAGTAGCGATTGTACGTTCGTGGGCCTCGTCAAGCATGATGCAGCTGTACTTTGACAGCATGGGGTCCAACAGGATCTCACGCTGCAAGATACCGTCCGTCATGTACTTGATACGGGTATCTGGCGAAGTCTTATCCTCGAAACGAATCGTGTAACCAACCTCATTACCGAGAGCGCAGCCAACCTCCTCAGCGACACGCTTGGCAACACTCATGGCTGCTACACGCCTAGGCTGGGTACAACCGATGACCAGCTCGTTACCGTAGCCAGCCTCGGCCAAATACTGGGTCATCTGCGTGGTCTTTCCGGATCCAGTGTCACCGACCACAATCAGGATCTGGTGCTTGGCGATAGCTTCAAGAAGTTGGTTCCTGAACTTAAAGACAGGCAACGACTCTCGTTGCTCCTTGATGCTCATGTTTGTACGTTTGCCAAACGAGGTTTCCCTACTGTTCGTGGAGATCTTCTTCCACTCCGGTAACGCTTGGCTGGGTTCGTTCGTGCGGGTGTTACGAAGATCGCTGGCGAATTGTCGTTGTTGGGCCATTGGATCGTTCCACTGGCTACTCAAGTCAACATTCGCTGCCTCCTTGGCGGCCTTCTCCTGGGCTTCCTGCTGTTTGAGGTCACGACGCTCCTTCGCTAATGTATCACCAGCCATTGCAGCGCGATTGAGCGAACCATCAGGCGCTTTGACAACTCGAATCGGTGACAGCTCCAGTGATTGCTTCGTCTGACCCGCCAAGAAGGGTGGCTCTTCCTCACGGACTTCGATATCAACATCTTCCTCTTCTTCGAAACCACCTTCGCCATTGATGTGCGCGTTGAAGTCCTCGTCGATGTCGGGGTAGTCGGACTTCGGTATTACACCAGAAGCAATGAGTTGCTTTATCTCCCAACGTTCTGGTGAGGTCATGCGCTTCCGCATTCCGTTCTTGCGACTGTTGAAACCGTCCTCCACGACTGGAACGGAGCTGTCGAGCCCTGGTATTCCTCCAAGTCCCTGGGAGTTTGCGCCTGTGCCGAACGAGGCTATGCGTTTTCCAGGATCAAGATCTCGACCGGTCCGCTGATCCACCTCTTTCATCGACAGCGAAATCCTGTTGTTCTCGTTCTTGATGACTTTGACTTTGACCTCTTGCCATCTCGATACGAGGTCGGATGGGTGGTTCACCCGGCCCTCCATCATTTGTGTGACGTGTACCAGCCCATCGACCTTGCCCTTGACGCCTTGTAGGTTGACGAAGCATCCGAAATCCTTGACACCTGTGACCTTGCCATCGTACACTTTGTATAACACGGGTTCGTCGTCGAGCTCGGGGGTAGGTGGTCGTCGGAATTCGTCTAGGTCTTCGTCGCGGTACTTCTTGCGGCTTCGTTGCTTGTTGTTTGGCTTTACGGTCCGCGTGCGGCCAAATTCGTCCTCGAAGACCAGCTCGTCGTTCTGTTGTCTGCCTCGTCGCGGACTCCTCGATCGCGAGCGAGAGTACGACCGGTCTCTCTGCCTGTGTCGCTTACTCCTGCTTATGTCGTCGTCGCTGTCGTATGGGCTCATGCTTCTTTTCCGCGACCTCTCCTTGGGTTTGCTGCTTGGCCCCTTCCCTGCCAGTCCCTCCAGCATCGCAAACGTATCGTCTAATGCGTCGATCTGTGTTGCTTCCTTCTCGGGCTCGTCGTCTGCCACCTCGTATTCCACGTCCTTGTCCGGGATCGCCAGGCCCTTGAAAACGCGCGTTTTGCGGTCTGTCGCATCGGTGCCGTTTTGCCCGTTTGCGCCAGATTCCTTTGCTCCCTTGTTCTTGTACTTGGGATGAAGCGTCAAGATGAGACGGTCAATGCTCTCCACCAGACTCTGGGGGAACTCTGCGCCCATGGCCTCCAGCTGGTTCTTGAAGTCTGTGACGCCTTTGCATGTCGCGTGCTGATCGATAACGAACTCGGCGAGCGTCTTATCCGAAACACCGACGTGATTCTGGATTTCGGAGGTGACCTTCGAGACGAGCGATAAGAACTCGAGGTTCGCGAGATCGTCCATGGCTGCGATTTGGCTCGCGGCGCGCTTTCTTTGGAATGTTGGAGTGTAGGATATTGTCTGCAGACTACATCCACTTGAAAAGATGCAAAGTGAATGGCCTAACGTCAACGTAGGCTTCCGGGTGTTCAGCTTTTCTTCTTGTACGATGTGACCTCGTCCGCGGCGCGCGTTCGTTTGGATAGTCGGGGTGTAGGATCTGGGGATGTCGTGGTCGCAAGGAGGATTTTGGGTGTTTCCTGGTTTGGAGATGTCGCGCGAAAATGCTACGCGACGACTCTTTCCTCCTCCCGGTGTAGCTGCGGAAGAGGAGTGTGAATGGCTGAAGGTGTTGGATCGTCAAGAAAGTTGATGCGGCTCGGCGGCGATTTCGCGCTAGGCTCCAGTCCCCGCGCTGGCGCCGTTCCCAAGTTCCACGATATCCTGCATCCATAGATCTTTCGACCACCGACATCCAATTCCTCGCCCGCATCGCTTAATCCTTCAGCTGTCTCAGCGTATCTCGTGATACTCACAATCACTGTCACGATGGTGTTTGCACGCATACACCAGTTTATCCAGAGGACGCACGAGAGAATGTTACAGCAACCCTTGAAGACTTCGTTCATCCTGCTCCTCTTCAATTACGCAGGTTATCGATTCATCTCTCACTGGAACCCGATAATCGAACGAGCGCGCATAGCCAAGCAGGCGGAAATGGGACAAGCGGGCACAATGAGTGAGGGCACAAAGGCGCATACATACGCTCCGGACACTGCTGCAAGGACACGAGTGGAAGCTGGACAAAAATCTGGCGGAAGTTCGATTCAATGGATGAACGTGAATGGTGTACCCATCCCATTCATCGGACCCAAGTCGACCGATTGAGAACGACATCTTGCTGGTGTATCGACAAATGTTTCACTGGATCACATCATGCGTCGAACGTAAGCCTTGGCTTCAGTGTATCGCAACCATGGAATTGAGTAAAACCTCATCTCAACAACCAACGCACACCACAATCATGTGCTGCTGATGCCTGGAGGGGGGTTTTCAGGAAGTGCCAGC